TTATATTCAATACTATTTAGAAATTGAGTTATATGATGAGTTTTTATTTAGATATTTCCTAAAAAAAGCAATAGTTTTAATTTAGTATAATATAAATTATATAACTAAACTCACTTTCAAGCTACTAATAATTTCTTTCAAATAATTATCTTTTAAAATATCACAATGTTAAATGATATCAGCACAAAAATTAGAAACTAATATAAAATATAATTTATATGTCTCCAAATACTTTATTGCAAGTAAAATTATTTGAATTATATTTTAATAATATTTTTATCTGATTTATAATATTATAAGATAATATTATTATATTAAAATAACTTATAGCATTCAAAATTTGAAAAGTAATAAAGAAATTTGATTTATAATAATATAAAAAAGACAAAATATAGAGATTTGTAAGAAATACAAAGAGAATAAAAACTTTATAATATCACATAATTCATATTATAAAATAAATAACTTTATAATATTAGTATAATATTACTTGAGTTATGAGACTGTTTTACTTTAGTCATTCTTTTTTAATAAAAATTAAAAATATATTAATTTATAATATATATATTTATATATATTATGACAGAACAAATATATTAGTTTATTTTGATAAAATATTCATTATTGATTTTTTTATTAAAATAATATTCAGAATCTTATAATAATTTTATTATATATTGTTATGAAAAATAAAGAACTTTGAGTTCTTATTGTGAAATATAAACTTGTTTGTAATCTTTTTATTCTAATATTTTCTTAATAAGATTATGTGCTATTTTATTCAATAAATATTTTAACTAATATTTCTTTTTTCTATTCATTTACTAGAATCAAAATAAATATATTTCTTATATATTGTGATTTATTTAACTAAATTATAATTTTTAATATAGTATTGATTAAAGATGAGATCATAATTGATTGTAACTTGATTGCAATTTTCTGATTAGTTGTCATAATTAATTGCAATTAAATTATAATTCTCTGATTAAATATTACAAGTTGCAATTAATTAAGATATCATTTTTAGTATTGATAAGTATTTATTTTTTTAAATATATCAACAAATTTATCAAAATATAAAGCATATTTTTCTTGTATCTCAAATTTTTTTTCAATTAATAAATTGGAAATATATCTAAAAATCTCTTTCTGTCAGGAGTATTATCATTTCTCATTATATTTCAAACTTGTTTTATTTATATTTTAGATTTTTTTCTTGTAATTTCTATAAAATCATTGAATAACTATTATATAAAAATTTTCAAAGTCATAATGATAGAAATTAAAAATCTCCAAGCTTACAATATTATACTTTTTGAACTCTTAAGAAAATACTTAATTAAAATAATTATAGATTAAAAAATCTAACTGATAATAGATAGATCATAATATAAGTATAACAAACAAATAATTTCACTAAGTGATCATATATGTAAATTATATAACTATACATTTTGTAAAAAAATAAATTATATTATTTATAAGTTATGTATTACATTTTTTATAAATATAGTTAAGATAAATAATATTAATATTTAGTTAAAAGATATTAAGTTTATATTTTTTCTTGTATTTTTCATACAGAAACAGTTGTGTAGCAATTAATTTAGTACTCATTAATATTAATAAAGCTAGACATGCTTGCATTATACTGTATTGATACAAAAGACTTTGATAACAAAGAAGGAGGAATTAATAAATATAGCTCATCAATTTCTTTTTTGTTTTTATCTTTCAGAAATCTTTCAGTATTTGATAAATAGTCTGATTTTTCATTCTGAAGAGATCTAATTGAGAAGATCATTTTGTTATATTTTTCTCATGCAGAATCTATATATATTTGAATAATACTATCAGTATTATTTCTATGATAATTATGAGTAATTGATACCTGTTTATCTTTTTCTGAATGAGAAAGTAACTGGAATGTAATTTTCAGATAAAGATGCTTTATCACAGCTTTTGCTTGTGATATATTATTTATATATGTTAAGATTTCATATTTTTTCCTAGCAATTTCTAGGAGAAATGAATTTAAAAGATTTGAATTTTTCTTTTTTATACATGCACTTAAATGTTCATTTACAATATCACTATTGCAATCCCTTTTATAAAGAAATACTAACGAATCACATATGATACAGTAAATATAAAATTACCTAATCTGTCTTAATATTTCTCATTTATATATTTTTTTATCAATTGGATATAATCATTCTCAGAATAGAATTTCCTATATTTTTTAAGAAACTTCTTAAATGGAGCATGAATATGAGAGCACCACATTTCTGATGGTTCATGTAATGCAAATCTACTAACTCTTGTACATCTTTACGATCTATTCTATCAGCATATTTAAAAGAGGTTTAATCATCCTTACAAGTATATAATGATTTTTAGTGATTTTATTGATTTATAGCAATTTATAGCAGTTTGTAACAAGTATATTATAATAAAATATCGGATTCATTTTTATTTGAGACTGGAGGATTTATATTCATATGTACGTATTATAAAAATTTGTATTACATGAGATCTCCCCTAGCTCCCTACCAGTTCCTCGACAGTTCCACGACACTTCACTAGCACTATCATGGCGCCAAGTTGTTTCTCAAAATCACGAGATGATCAGCTAGTCAGATTAATAAAAATAACTCGTATATTCACAGCATTTACATTTAAAAAAAGAAGAAAGGCCCGATATGGGCAAAACTTTATTTTACTTTTTATTGATAAGCACATGCAAAGCGCCTCCAGCTAATTCATTGGTAGACAAAAATAGCCTAAAGGAAAGAATCAATATAAACTATTTATTTTTTCTCGACCCGCGGATCAGTAGAAATCATGTGACGTGGCGCAGTAACTATGCAAATTCTGCTTCGATGTTATCCCAACTAAACTTGTTGATTTATCCGTTGTATCTTATCATACCCAATATTATTAAATAAATCATAAATCTTTCTATTCTTTCTCAATGGTATTTTCGAGAGATCGTCTGGAAGCTGTTTTGTAACTTCCTTGACGAGCATTCTCTGAGCCTTACGTTCTCTATAAACGCTTCTGAATCTGTCAAAAATATTTTCAAGTTTCTCCCCAAACAAATAATATCTCATAATAATCTCCTGATTTGTAGCTCTATTTTGGTCTTGAGCCGTTATACAATTCAGTAAGATTCCCCAGGTCTGCGATTGAAGGTTGCGTATCAGTGGTACTCGATGCAATTGTTAACTTTTTGATAAGTTGATAAGTTTCTTCAGAGTAGGTGATTTCCCGTCATTATTTGAGACCTTCTGTTTTTTAGCTGAGGATTTTTCGGTAGATTCTGGTAAGTCACTAGTGCATTTTTTCTGGGCGGTTCTTGAAGCCTGTTCTACTGGAAACAGTTCCAAATCTTCGGCTGATGGGCATATAGGACACAACTTGCGTGGATTTTTTGATGCAATCGTAATGCACGATATGTTTGCAGGTTAAATATACGAGTGGTTTAGTGGGTGCATTAGAAGAGATAGAATGAAAGCTTAGAGAAGGAAGACATGAAGAGAGCTCTTCAGAGCATTTTGCGCATCTTAAATAACTTTTAGCCCGTTGAGTTGCTGTATCCTCAATCCCTTCCATTCGTATAGGTGGTGAAGATAGGACAAACTCTTCACTCATCACGTTGGATAAAGCTGAAATTCCTGTTGAATCATGCACAATAGAAGGAAGTTCTAAGATATCAACAATCTTTCTACAATCTGGTAATGGACATATATTCATCTTATTGTAGATAAGATTTTTCTCAATGCATAACCTGTGAAAGGTATGTCCACAGCTGAGTATCGTGATTGCCTTCGGAGGGAGCATTAAAATTTGATTATTACACTCCCAATATTCTAGTTCTTGAATCTCTATATTTCCAACGATTTTATCCTCGAGACGGTTTGTAAGGCTCCGGATCTTCACTAGTAATTACGCACTGCATTTCGTCATTTCACTAACCCCCTTGCAAATCAATAAAGATGACGAAGGATTAGCATACACATCCCCCAAATCCCATATACGAAATAATGATTTCCAAATAATATCTATATCCGAATATTGTTTTATTAATATGATCATGTTTTTCGCGATACTTGTGACGCATGTAAAAAGTTTTTTATTATTACGTTCTGCAACTGCTTCTCTTCCAATTTCGCGACTCTTTCTCTAAGCTCAGCATTCCTTGTCAAGCTCAGAATTCTCGAACTCGAGCCCAGTTATCTTAGCCATAAGTCTGGCATTTTCTTCTCTAAGTCAAACTCGGATTCCATTTTCAATAACACTTTATACGAGCAACTTTTAATATGCAAATCTTTCATCGCACAGCCCCTATTCCTTCGGCAAGAATTTTCCCGATATCGTACTGCGCATTTTTCAGATGAGGTAAAAGCCAACCCCTCACATGATCGCCTAAGTACCAATGGATCAGATATTCGGTAAGAACATACTTTAATTTTTATATCGCTATGTAATAGATAACAAAGATTTAATACGTATCACGCTCCACACACATACAGCATTTACATATTAAAGAAGATAAACATGATGTGAGTGCCATTTATTAATATTCGTTCAGCATTGATAAACTAACACATCATTAATCAAAGAATAGAAATTTCAAATTTCATCTATCTCTTAGCTACATAAAATATTATACTATGTTTCTGAAAAGTTGTCTCGTGATCTCTTCAAAGGTGACATGTGCTACATCAGGGAATTCATGAACTTTTCTCGGGTGTTTGGAAATTCCAGGACTACCTCGAATATAGGCAATACGAAATCCAGGCACGTGCCTACCATTTTGGGTAACAACAAACTTATTTCTTGAATCTATTTCAGCAGAATGACCGGAACCATACATCTCATCCAAATACATCTCGATCTGGTTTCTTCCATTAATTTGCATTTGAGAGATACCAGCTTGTGCAGACATTACTTCAAATGCTTGCCTGATGTTTGTTGATGGTTTGCTGTTGTGTGTTACGAAGTCACTGACAGATACCTGTATGAATATAGGTCCGAGCATGTAATCGAATCGGGGATATCTGTCAAAGCCGCGACTTAAAACTTTATTAAAACCAGGTCCAAGGGATAAGCCAGAAGACTTGATTATAGCATAGTCATCAAACTGGAGCATAACAACATTTCTATTTTTATTATTGAGATCCGTTATATTGAATTGTATTGTTGTGTTAGATTTGCACACAAGTCGATTGAATAAGGCTTCCTCAAATTGATCTCCATTCAGACTTCCTATATCGAGTTGATTTTTTATATTTTCAGGTAAGTCAAATGACATATACATTTTTAATAGAGCTTTCCGAGCAGATGGACATAGAGGGAAATAATGAATTTCCTTGTGCTCCATGTACCGATAATCAACCCAAGATCTAAGAATGTCCACTCAAACTGCACAATTGGTTTACTGGGAAGAAACATGCTTGTAAGAGAATCATAGTAACGGATTTTTTCATTTTTCTGGAGACTATTATAATAACTTTGAACAATAACCAGAAGCTGATCAATCCGTTCATTCTCAAAAATTTTTAGTACTTCTTGAAAGTCATTTACATCGGTAGTATTGGGATCGAGTTCATTAACTTAATCAACTAGATACATAAGTTCTCGTGGCACGCAATTTGTAATCTTTATTGCTTCTTCTTTAATGCCTTGTTTACTCAGAAGGGGGTGCATCTGCACAACATATCAAATACATTATTCTCTAGTGGAGCGACATAGATCATCCACCATTTGCTCTGACCATTTTTCATGTATATCATCTCATATTTAGCATGTGCAGTTCCCGTGAGAATTACACGTACACCTTTGTAATGTTCAGCCCAAAAAGTAAGGTTCATCAGAGGTTTCAAAATATAAAGTCTTTCAGGTACTGGGTCCTTTTCAAATAATACACCATGCTCATCAATAATTAAAAGAGTTTTACGATCTACTTGTTTGAGTAGATTTCCCAGAATTTTTCCAGCAACCTTACTAGAAGAATAATCAACATTTTCATTTTTCACAAGCAGCTCAAGCTCGGCGCCAGTCAAAATATCCTTATTAAGAGCCAGGAAGTACTTGCAAATCACCATTCCTGCTTCCTCTGACGTGTTTAAACTTAGCTCAGCTGCATCTGCAATATAGAGCATCAGCCATCCTTCAGCATAAGCTTTAACTGCAAGGAAATAGGTAATATATGATTTATCCACACCCATTGGGCCTGAAAGAACACGCTTGATTGAATGGTCACTATCTGCTGAAAGCTTGTCCCATATGTCAATCATTTGCCCAGTAACAAGCAATGCCTTTCCTTGATAACCTTCAGCGAAGTGTTTAGGTTCCTGGCCAAAATGTGGTAGGGTAATTGATTGGCGAGCACTAAGGTTCTGGAAGGCATTTTGGAAATCGATGCAGTTATCAGGTACGAATTTGCCACTTTCAAGCATGTCAATTATTTGGGATGGCAATTCTACGGAATGACCATCAGAGGCAGTATATGATTTCCAGCCCTGTTCTATTCGACGTTTCTTTGTAGGATGCTCTACGAAGTGCAGCATGATAGAAGTAGGAAGGAAAGAAGTTAGTCAATATTTGATAAATATATTACAACGCAGTGTAAGTTTGGAACATTCAAAATTGTTGTGGAAGAAAAAATCAAGTCATTTCGCGTTCACTCGCGTTGAATAATTTATTACGACTCACTTACCAGCAACGGCTTGCTCTACGATAACGCAAATGTGTTTTTTGGGCGGGTTTGACGATAAGAAGCAGGAAAGAAAAGCACAAGAATAAGTAAGTATTCGGTATTATTGGCGAATATGACAGAAGACGAAAAAAAGAACGAAGTCAAGCACATTAAATTATACTTCAATTGTATGAAAACATACCGGTTAATATATTTCTCAGGTATATAGCTTTAACGTTATCATTGCCGTATTTGAGGGAATTTTCCAAATCAGGCTTATTGGACATATAAGTTAGCAAGTCACCAAATTCTTTTTCTGTAATTACAGAATTCGAAAAAGGTGGTTAAGTTCTTGACGGACAGTAGTTGCAGGAGAGGTGGAGGGAGTAGTAGACATGTTTTGTGCAAATAATAGTTTCACAGATTGTCCCGAAAAAGAAAGATTTTTTTGCAGAAACCGGGAAGATTGATATTTATATATATTATATATATGAAATCGACTGTCGTACAGATTGATCTGATGATTACTGTATGTAAAATAAGGCGGCTGTTATTCATACCCTCCAAATTTGTTATTTGTACTCCCCATGTAAGAAAATCATCGCAGATCACGTGAGCACATGATCTGCGATGCGGTTTCACTAGCCGAAAATAGAATTTGTGCCCGATTCCTGATCACATGTATCTCACAGACCAATAAGGATTCGTGAATTTTTGATCAATCCGGGAAAAACAAATCTGGGCACAGATTCTACTTTGGTGTTTCAAAGAATTATTGTTTTTAAAAGAATAATTAATTATTAATTAAGATAATTGGTTTAAAAAAATAATTAATTGGAAAAGTCTTAAATAATAGTTAAGGTTTATTTATTATTAATGTGTATAAGAAACAATGTAAACTACAATAAATTATATATAAAAGAACAAATAAAAAAAGGGATCAAATAGATTTGATTAAAAATAATTACTCTGTTATTATATACATTGTCACCACATAATTGCTTTATCACACTAACTCACCCACCCATAATTAGCTATCTATTCTTACAGCAATAGCAAGATCACATACACGATGATTGTGAAAGTACTTTCTGAAGGACTGCGAACATCCAGCAACTAATCAACCAAGACGTAACGGATGAAATTACAGTCACCAACATATATTCGACCAAATAAAATTTCACGCATCTTGGATCATTAACATGCATTCACCAAACGCAGTATACAATAGTACTGATGAACTTTTTGAGAGTGCTCAAAGATTTGCAAATTCTCAGGGTTATGCATTGGTAAAGAAAAGAACCTGTAAAGATCACTGCGGTGAATTAAAAAATATAGCCTTGCGTTGTGACCGAGGTGGTGTTTACAAAAATTTCTTGGATCTCACCGAAGAAACTCATCGTAGACAAAAAAGCACCCGACTGATTGACTGTCCCTTTGAATTGTATGCTGTTAGACATAATGGTTTATAGTATCTGGAAGTCTGTAACCCTAACCATAACCATGATTATTCAGAAGTCATGTCGGGACATCCAATTGCTCGTCGACTTACAGAACAACAGGTGACAAGTGTTGCGGCAATGACTATTGCTGGTTCACGTCCTCGAGAAATTGTGTCGACCCTTCGTCAGAACGATGCATCGACTTTAATTACTAATAGAGACATTTACAATACTCGCGAACAGCTTTGTCAACAAAATCTGGCTGGTCGTACTTCCATTCAAGCTCTCATAGATGAGCTTAAAGAAGGCAATTTTTTTTATGAGTACGAATGTGATGACATGGGGTGCGTTATTTACCTTTTCTTTGCACATAATGAATCCATCGTCCTTACTCGTCAATATTCTTCCGTCCTTCTTATGGATTGTACTTACAAAACCAACAAATTTAAAATGCCTTTGTTAGATATTGTCGGTATTACCAGTTTCAACACCATCTTTCATTCTTGCTTCATTTTTATGAAAGGTGAAGAAAAAATGAATTATCAATGGGCCCTGACTCGTGTTGTTCGTTTGTTCAACAGAGTGTCAAAGCCTAGTGTTATCGTTACAGATAGAGAGTTGGCGCTCATGAATGCTCTTGAGACGACTTTTCCCAATTCGAAAAATTTATTGTGTATATGGCATATCAGCAAGAACATCTTAAAGAATTGCAGACCGCAGTTCC